AGTATCTGAAGGGAGCCTACAAAGATGCTGGAGATGAACTCTAATCAGGGACTGTAGTGATAGGACAAGGGGTAATGAGTTCAGACTTAAACAGGGGAAGCTCAGGTTAGATATAAGGAAGAAGTTATTTACTCTGAGCACGGTGAGGCACTGGAATGGGTAGCCCAAAGAAGTGGTAAATGCTCCGTCCCTGGCAGTGTTCAAGGCCAGGTTGGACAGTGCCTTGGGTGATATGCTCTAGGGTGAGATGTCCCTGCCCATGTCAGGGGGGGTTGGAACAAGTTGATCTTAAGGTTCTTTCCAACCCAGAACATTCTATTATTCTATGATTCTATGGTTAAGAAGTAATAATGTTAATGCATTAACACAGTCACACTCTGTGATTCACCCTGCAGTGAAAATGTGCCCACATGCACTCTGACAGTCAAATACCATGGTCTGTGAAGCTGCTTGGTTGGAATTTCTTTTCTACTCCCAATTCTTTCTGATTACAGTTTGTTCAATACAGTGACTTTTGAGTTCCTCTCTCTGAAAAGTTTGGATAGCACAGTTGGCTATAAAAGCCTCGTTGTAAACTCTCCCATATTGTTAATGGATATTTTTATGATTAATTGACCCAGAACAAAATAGCATAGAATTTCACTTGACATTTCTTTGTATGACAGTGAAGTGCTGATAACCACTCTAAGAATAGTTTTGCAGTTAGCTGAGCATTCACACTGTTATCATTTCATCCAGCAGACATCTACTGCGTTTTATATTCTTTAATCTCAACATGATGGACTTTTTGATACAACATGTAAGAAAACCAATGAAATTCACTGGCTTTAGGTTGCCAACAAAACTTGAAAATTGAAAGAAAAAATCCTATCCAGCCTGTTACAGGCCAAGATATTACCTCCAAATTCTGGTACTCCTAGAGCAACATCTTGTCAGAGGGGAGCAAAAGGGGAAAATGCCATGTTTGCCCCATTCTTACACTCTCAGAATCATAGAATGATTCCTCTACTCCTCTTACTTACAGCTTACTGGGGATTATGGGTAGGTGAAGGTTGACTCTGATCTCGTGTGAACACCACATGGGACTGCATTGAAAGTCTCACTAAAAATCAGATTATATCAAAGCTTCCTATGAACCCTCAGGATTAAAGTATTTGTTGCCCCATTTTTTCCACTGGTTGTCACTGGAAAGTATTTCTTCCTGTTCTAACCCCAGTGACAGTTTCAATACATATATATTGCATTACCCTTTAGATACTGTGGAGGAAATGTGTTAGGGCTAAAAACACCCTTATTTAAAGATGTGCCATGCCCTAAACAAGGAATCCCTTTCTGTATGTTAAAATCTATGAACATTAAAAGAAACACAGGCAAGTTGAAGAGCCTTTTCTCATAGCAACCCAAAGCAGAATTAAATTATCTCACCTAAGAAAGCCGACTTCCTTGACTTCTGTGTGATATTGCAGAGGGCTTCCTATATTCTTTTATGGTCTGCTACTGATAACTCAGTATTTTAACTCATTCCAGACTTTGCAAGCTTGTCTCTGTCACAGGCCTTTAAAAGCACATTAGTAACACCTTGGTGCATCACCTTATGGAAAATGCTTAAAGCATAATCTTCTTAATATAGTCATAGCTAGTCTCTTTCTGTGAACATTATATAAAGATGAAATGTGGTGTTACAGATGGCAAAATTGGACAAGGGATGTTTAATTTGAATAATATTTCCTTTTATTCTATGCTGGTTTCATGGCAGGGGGGATTCTTTCTCACATTAGCTCCTGTCTTCCTTTCCATTCAGCCTCTTGCCTTGTCAGAGAAAGGCACTGGCTATTTGTTCTTTCTGTCCCCTAAGACAACAAGTACATTAGATTAACCTCAGTTACTAAATATTACAAAAAAGCCACAGTAACTAATCTTACTAAAGAATAACTAAGTTTGTGGACTCCCGTTACTGTAGAATTTATAGAACAGTCTTCTAATAAACACAGATTTGCCAAGGAATTATTTAGGTTTACTCCGTCCTGCCTTAAAGCATGGCATCAGGTTAGTTAACTTACTGCTGTGAGACATCTATGAGTAGGAAATCTAATCAGTATTTCATTCCAGAGGATACCAAACCTTCAGAAGCAAACTGAAATTTAAGGTTTCTCTCATTACAAAGTGACTTGTCTAGCTAGTCCTCTAAACTGAATCTGCCTTCAGTACCGGGGTGGAGAAGTCTACAACTGACGAAAATCATATAGAAAGTTTAAACTGACTACCCAGGGAGAAGCCAGGGCACCAAGTATGCAATGCTACAACACAGGTACCTCATGAAGTAAACTACGAAGTGATGGTGGAAGCAGAAGTTGCGGCCAAATTATATGAATGAAAGGAAAAGGATGATGCATGTGCTTAATTTTTTAATGTCTTGTTTATGTGGCTTTTGCACAAGACGAAGAGGGATGGAGCTGTAGATAAAGCACGATACTAGCAGGCATATCACATGATCCGAGGTAATATGGAGCTATAAAAAGAGGATGGGATGTTACCTGACTTTCAAGGACCACATCAGCACTACTACTATTATGCTGCTGTTCCCAGGAAACACATTAAAGGGAGACCTTGAAATGTTTCCAGAGTTTGAATGATATTTTATCTGCTAATTATGTTGCAGTTTTATGGACTATATTTACTTTGATCTTTTCCTTTAAGAATTCATATAAGGCTTATTAATGGAGCTCATCAATACCTGAGCATTTGTACTGAGGATCAGTCTCATGACCACCCAACGTAGCATAATGATTAGAGATAATACATTATTTCATTGTGGACCTTCCCACTAGCTGTTTCATTTACAAGACCAAACCTTCATCTCTATTACTGATAGGAGGATCTACTGAAATCCTGGAATTATTGTTAGTAAATTCTGGTTTCTTCTAGCAAGAACAATATGTTAAAAAATGCCAGGAAAATTACATTATTCCCTTGCTTTCTCTTGCTTCTTCCCTGTTTCCCTCTGAGTAATACATAAAACCTGCAACTGACTGAATACTGAATGCTGTCAAATACATAAAATTAAAACAAAACAACAGCAAAAAGAGCAGCTGAGAGGTTGGAAGTGGATGGAAATGCCCATCCTTATTTTTAGGCATGAAAAGAATTTTTAGAAAGTTACTTGTAGAAATCAGAAGCTGCAAAACCTTCAATAGAAAAATACCAACCCCAAATTCATGCTGTTATTTCTTTAAAAAGCAGCAATGAAACATTTATAAAGCTCACTGAAATAAAATTAAGGCTACAGAACAGCATTTCTCTTGAACTGAAAGAGCAAATTTGAAGGGAGCAGAGATACTAGTACATGAACATTTCCAGAGGCACAGCAAGTAACTTGAACAGAGAAAGTATTAAAAACACTCCTCTTGGGCATAGGATAAGCTAAAACACATACCAGGAACCAAAGCAGACACATCCACCTACTATGTATGAACAGTATGCTCTGAATAAGCCTCACAAACTGATAGCAAAGAAGAAACTGAAAAGATGACAGACCCTATTTATAGAATGGCTTTAATATTATAGAGTCATCTCCATGTAATTTTAATCTGATGCCACAAAAAGAGAGGTGTCTTCTTCACTTAAATCACTGACAGGATTATCAGTATTATTTTTTCATGTGTCTTAAACAAAGAGACATTTCTGCAGTATCAGAAAGAAGAAACAGCAGGAGGTAGGGATTTACATACTTAATTATTTCCACACTTCATTATTTGCACCTATTAAAAATATTGTCCTTGTAATTAAAAACCAGAAATAGATTTGTAGAAATTCAGAAAGACCAGCAGAAGATCTTTGTGACCTTTGAGAGTTCTTATGTCCTAGACTATAAGAAAATATATTTGATAGCTGGATTTAGTTTAACATTTTGCAGGTCATAAGCAGTTGCTCTGCTACTGGAAAGGATTTTTTTGCCAAAACCATTATTCTGACATTTAAAAATGCTTGCCCTGTGTGTCCACTGTTGTGTGAATACATTTGTTATAGAATATATGAGGATAAGGAAAAATTCTAACACACAAAGGAGCATTTGCTTGTTTGCAACTTTTCATTCCAAAGACTTCTCCCATTGTTTCTTATTTATTACGGTGCACACAGATACGTATTTCCTTTAGCAGTTAACTCTTTACTCACCTACTAAAACTTTCAGGTTTAGTTTGCTCATTTACTGTATTTCTTTTTTATATAGTCATGTTGAAATAGGAAAGAAGAAAAGAGATGTGCATGGATAATTTTTTCTACTAATATGTGCTATGCTCAGTGCGTAGTGAATGTATGACCTACTGAGGAGCTCACATGTTATGAAAGTATGCCTGCTTGACCTCAGATGGCAGAATTTAACACAACATGGAACAAACTTGTGCAGCAGTGCTGGCTTACTTTTGCACCAAGCACAGCTACAGACTTTTACTCCTATATTTTTAAATGGTTGAAGAATTTTCCTCACTGTTCATAAGCTTCTATAGAAAACGTGTCAGTAAAACATGCCCAGTAAGACATATGGCTGTTTCTGCAATCCATATTGAACACACCTAGCTGTACTATGCCTCAGCCTTCTCCAGCAACACTGCCCTCTTCCTAGCAGACACACGAGAAGACTGAGATATGAATAAACCGTTACCAGGTAAAGTCATTCTACTGGGTGAAATAATTAATGAGTTCTCACTTTACATATTTGCCATTCCTGACTTCTTCCTCTTCACTCATACAAAGCTTCTCAAGATACAGACTTTTTATGCTCCTTTTATACACCTAGAGAGCATGCAAACCTATGTAGTTTTATACAAACTAGACAACTGGTCTCTTAGGATTGAATCTAGAAATAACATTTTCAATTGCTTTATGAAGCATTACACTTAGTCCTCAAGATACTATTCTATTTATATTTTAACCAGTATAAGGAAATAAAATCAATAATGTAAATATCAAGCGTGTAAATGTCTTTTTATAACTGTACTTACAGAAAAAACAGCAGCCACAGTTTCAACAGCACCAGTACTTAGAGTAACATAGGGGATTGTCTTATGATTGATCCCAGCTTCACTAAAGATGTTGTTTGTGTAGTACCAGATCTGTATCAGAGAGGAGAAAATGAGTTGTTAATCATTATGGCTTGAATTACAATATATTGGTATTCAGTTCAAGTATCTGATCTGCCAGATACCAGACTTGTTAAAACAGTGAACATTCGTGAATGACTGAGAACTGGGCAGAAGAACACAGGAAGGGAAGGTGCAAATTTCAGGTGAATTAGTCACAGTACTGCTGTTCTTCTGCTTGCAGACCCAGGCAGAATTATAAGCAGCTTTAACTCGATTTAGCTTGATTCACTTTAGGAGTAAATCAAAGAAACTGACTTTAAGCTTGGACCAGCTGATACAAATGGGTTTCAGGTAGAGTCACACCACTTAAAAAGCTGGTTTGGAAGGCTTTAAGGGATATGTCAATGACACGTAACAACAGGAGAGAAAACAAGAAAGAGATGCTGAAAGGCATTGCAGAAACCACTTCTTTTTGCACAGGAGGTGTGAGCTTTATCTCTCACTGCAGCATGGACATCTGCAGTCAAGTCATCACCCTAATACATCTTTATTATCGACAGAAAGAGAAGATACCTCTAGAGTGAGAATTGCTTGATGAAGAGTAAAAAGCTGCTTTTAGGATGAAATGAAACACAGGCTAGAAGGAACTGTCACTAATGGACAGAAACACAGGGAGCACAGGGTTACTAGCTTACAGGAAGTCTTTCATGTTTGGTCAGTAAAAACACATCCAGTGGTGACAATATCCAGACACAGAATATATGATGGTAATACTCTAAAATAACAAGTCTGGTAAGTATCAGTGTCCCATTCATGTTACATATATAGTATGAAAACCATATAATATTTATGTTGGACTCCAGGTGACAGCAAAGAACTAGCCAAAGTTTTTGTTTGCCAAAAGTATTCAACTAGGAAAGACTGCCTTGGAGAGAGAAAAAACAACTGATTTACTAGAGAAGATGAAAACCAACTGAAACAACTGATTATCAGAGAAACTAAAGTTCTAAATCACAGCTGATTACCTGTGGCAACAAAACTGAGAAGCTGAGACAATGATGGTACTAAACATAAAAGTAGCAGTGATTTTTTTTCCCATGTCTTGTCCATGTGACAAGCTTTATGAGGGCAAGCATTACTAAAGAAAAGGGTTGTCTGATGAATGGAAGTGTATTGGTTGCATGAGGAAACCCCTGCTGCCTATCAGCATGTTATGTACATGCTACATCTGTTCACCAAGCTACTGATTCAGGAGCTTTGTAAAACCAAAAGTCGTTCTAAATTCCCAACTAGCCCTTCAGCAAAGGTGTCTGTCCCAGTTCAAAGAAGAAAATCCACTCATCTAACATAAAGCAAAAGAAAACAAAATACCAAGGAATAAAGGGTCAACTGTATCACCTTACACATAAAGAGAAGCTGACTGAAGACTTTTATGCCTACTGCTGACACATCAGCTCTCACCAGAATAGATGCAGGCACAATAAGTGACAGCAGCAAACTTCTCAATATGAAGTAATCTGCTTTCCTGTAGCATGCACTGGTGTTGGCTGTGCATTTCATTGGCTTGCCGATACAAAGCTGACTGAAGCAAAACCAAGATCAGCTCCAAAGTCCCTCTGAAATGTTTATGCCCACTGATAAATTTTTTGGGACCCAGTACAACCTATTCACCTCCTGTACACCTACACAGCTTATAAGGAAAGCAAGGTAGCACAAAACCAAGATAAAAGTTATTTTTGTTTCTCCATACTATAAGTTTTAATAATTTATGCAATCAAAGTTAGAAATCATGCAATTTAGGCATTTCATTCTTTATAACAGTTGTGCATAGAAGATAGAGCTTCTAAAAATGATGTTCGTATTGCAGACCTTAATCAGACAACTCCTGAATGCAATTTGCCAAAATGTAACAACCAGAACATCAGATGTTTCACAAGTGGTTTTACAGAAGAGCATGACTGACCACTGAGGGTAAGAGTGATGATAACAGAGCTAGATTAAAAAACTAGCAGAGCAAAGACAGGATGAGGTTCACTCACAGTTACTAGTTTCTACAGCAGCATAAAAATAAATTAGGGTAAAAATTAACATGATGTACACGTTTTGAAACAGTAAAAGTGAATGTTTTTCAGCCTGCGTATCATTAAACAGGAAATACATTGCTCTAGGATATTACTGAGGCAAACTTACTAGGCTAATTATGACTATTCTACTTTCACTTATGTTAATTTTCTAACATGTTTTTTGAGGTGGAAGATGGATAAATTTTTTATGCATGATATGTGTCATGGATAAATTTAATCAGATTAAAAGAGACTAAATTAGATTCATTTATTTATGTCAATTTAGGTCACACTGTCTGGTGCGCCATTATAACTGAATGTCTCAATAAGATCAGGGCTTCACCAGGATTTCTGTGGAAATCAATGTACCATTTTTAAGCAAAACAAATTTTATTGTAAAATAAAAGCCTTAACAGGAAGCAAGATGTTCTTCTTTCCTGTTCTTAGATACCAGCAGAATGATTACAGAAGTCTGTCCCAGTTGGTGATTTCCTAAGAGAGTGACCTGAGACTCTCACCTGAAGAAGTCCAACTTTCCTATATGCCCTGCCCAGATGATAGTTGTGGAAAAGAGTAGATTGATTAGTGGGACACTAGAGATGAAGCAAATGATGGGGAAATGAGTTAGAAGTAATTGTTCACAGCCAGTGAAACCTTGTTGATGCTGGCTCACAGCCAGCAGGTTGCTTCAGATGCAGTCAGGCAAACCAAGGTCTGGGTTCAGCAGTACCTGTCACACCTGTACCTGCCTCTATCTCTGAGCTTCAGGTGACTTGAGCAACATCACCAGGAAAACCATGCAAAAGAAACAAGGAATTGAAATCTGGTCTCTTAATCACGTGGTCCAATTATTTCTCTTAAATTCTCTTATAATTTGCTTGGGTTTACTATTAACTATTTAAATAATCATTTTCAGAACACAATTTTGTGTGAATATTTTTGTGTGTGTGTTTCCTTAGTGACATTGCACAGGAGTAGAATCAAAGTAATAATTAAAAAATGGTAAAGCTTGAAACAGCCAACTTAACACACAGATTTCCTGACAGAGAAATCTCTTCTGAGGCATATGTTCAGAAAGCAGCCACGCAATGGCACTTAAAAATAACTCTGGTATCTCTTTTAGACTGAACACATTTCACTATCCCCCCACATCTTCACTCTGGCAATGAGAGTGTGGCTTTGGCCTGCCATGAAATAATAGACAATTTCTGCCACCTATCAAATATCCTCAAAGCCATAAAACTTTTATTTTCCCTGAAAAATTAGCTGTGGCCTTGTTTTTCTTTAAAGCAATGTGCTTTATATGTGAACAGTCTTTCTTACAGTAGGTGTCCTTTTGGTTCACCTATGCTTTGATAAATTTTAGAAAGACTGCATGACAAGATAATTCTATATCTTTTCTTAAAAAAGTATCCATAGTGAGGACAAAATAGCCTGTCATTAGCACTGAAATTCTACAATTACAAGAAAATACCACCTATACAAATGTTTTTATAGTTCAGCCCTCAGTATGAAAAATCTTCTAGTTCCATCCTAGTATTTTGTTGAAAACTTTTAGATACCAGCGTTCTAATTGCATTTATCTTTTAAATGGCCTTGGACAAATTACTCTGTAACTTTGTAATAGGAATTTTAAAATAATGGAGATACCCGAGATAAGTTTGAACTGGTTGTCTTATATAAAGAAGAATTTACACTTATTATCACTGATTAGCTGGGGGGGAAAAGGAGGGGAGGAAACAAGCTGAAGTATGCTGTAATGCACAAAGCCACAGAGAGCTCTTTCCAGCAGCAACAGTATTGCCTTTCATATATGCAAGCAATTAACGCCTTTGAACTGTGATAAAACCCTGTTTTGTTTTGTGGTGCTTCATGAGAACATTTGTGTTGTGCAATGTAAAGCACCTAAGCCTGATGTCACAGGCTGCAGGAAAGAACTTTCTGGATGTAAAGAGAACTCCTTTCACAGTGTAAGGTATGCAAACACATAGCACAGATTGCCCAGGGAGGTGGCGGACTCTTCACCCATGGACTTAATGAACTCAATTGTAGAATGCCCTCAGTAGCTGGAACCAGCCCTGCAGTCAGTCCTGCTCTGGGCCAGGACTTGGACCTGATGACCTCCAAAGAGCCCTTCCAACCTAAATTGTCCTGTGGCCCTTTCCTAGCTGATGCAACAGGCTCAGACAGATGAAAAAGGAGACTTTGATGTCATCAGACACATTAATGGTCAACAGGACTTTTTGCTATTGACTGTTCTGTGTCTTTTTTCCTCTTCTGCTCCACTTTCTGGCATATTGAAGCACAGCTTATTATTCCAATGTAAGAAAAAACAACAAAAATCAAACACCCTGTAAAACATCTTAAAATCACTTCCAGGAACTTCCACTGATTAGGTATAGAACTGAGTTAATTTAAGCAGAAATGTCCACTGAAAACACCAAGTTTACCTAACATGAACAAACGGGAATATCAGACCAGATCTTAACTGACTGGAGGAAACAAAGAATCAGGGTATCAGATGCAGAAGCCGCACACCCTATCATTGCTGCTCTGTGCTACCTTTTAATGTCTTCCTTCAAAGTTAACACAACATGGTTTCTCTCCCTTTTTTTTTTGTTTAAGAAACCCAACAAGCAATACAGAACTCCATGGACCTTCCCACAACTGGGTAACAAAATCACTACTAACAAAAAACAGCCACAAATGAAAGTCATAGAGATTGCTGAATGGTACAACATGAACCTTGCATTAACAAGAAAGAAAGAAGCACCCTGGGAGATGCTATGGCCTGAAGAACACTTACAGCATTTAGCCCACAGAGCTGGTAACAGGCCATGGTGATGACCACGGTAATGACCTGCCATCGCACCGCACGGGTTCTCAGGAGCTGAAGAACCGACACTAACTTGGTGTTTCTTTGGACTCGAGACTCTGCCAAAACTTCCTCTACTTCATGAGACACGTCTTCTTTCCCAAGGAAGGTCTGAAACGCTATAAAGAGAGGACATGTATTTTAGGCCAGATGTTTGTCACTACGTGCATTTATAACAGACTTGCTTCATAGGAATAGAAACGTGACAAAAATAGGAGACATGCATGGGCTACAACTTAAATATTCTTCTGTCAGCAGTATCATTCTGCTCTGGATATGATCCGGCTCATCTGTACAGTTGGTCTCAGATACTGCAACAAGAATATAAATTATTTGGCACCCTATCAGACTCCCTTACATTATTTCATATATAATATAGTTGAAGGTCCAATGCAGAGTCAAAACCATGTGCAATCTGAAAAAAGAGTTTAGTAGCAAAGCAGTTCTGAACATTATTTTCCTTGGCTACTTCTGCAGCCTAATAACATAGCAGACCCCATTGCTGGAGATAGCATAAAGAAGTAATAAAATATAAAAAACATATGTAAGTCTGGTAAATCAAGGCAGACATTTGGAACAAATAGCTGTTACTCTTCATATTACCTGTTGCATATAGACAAGAATTCAATTTGTCAAGATTGTTAACATTAACAAGAATTACCCAGAGCAGTTCAAGAATTTCTCATCAACGTTGGAGACTCAGAAGTGAATGTAGCTGGCAAATGTAAGCAAATAAATCTTGTCTCCTCAGAAAAACATAACATTTAATGTTATAGTATTGTGCATTGATGGATTCCTGTGATATCCTGCCCCTGGGAATAATAAAAGCTTTCCATCTCACACCTCATCTAAGAGGTACTACAAACAGATATCTCCTAATGGAGGTGGTGTATGCTCACCAACCTTGTTTTGCAGATACTGGATATGCTGATGATACCTTCATCACAATCTTATGAACATACCTTCAGGGGTTGGCTTTTTAAGATACATTGAAAATGCTCATCATCTTGGAATGACTGCAGGGAAACAATTGCATTACACATATCCCTGAAACAAGGTTTGTGACCCAGTAGGATGCTAAGTCTAAAAACAATCCTTTACACAGCAGGTCACTTAAAATTGTTATTTTTATTAAATGAATAATTTAATTCTCCTTAAAGCCAAATATATTTTTTTTCTCTTATCCATAGCTTTGCCTACAAATAAATGACCTTCTAATTTTTCAGTATGCATATTTTATAGTATACACTCTTCTGGATCCCAAAAAGGACTTGGATGGTCAAGAAAGCCATGGATAAAATGATCAGACACCAGTTAGGTTTCAGAGACACAAAATTTTAACTTTACCCAGTAGGTGAAAAAGCCAAGTAGAGACATTTGAATGCTGTGAGGGATAGGACACACAAATTAACCTGCTGTGTCCTCAGAGCATTCCTCTCCATCTCTTTGGTGAATGCTCAATGCTGCGCATTCTGCCTGGCTCCCAGTCTGGCAGTGCATGGAACAACCTCAAGCTGTGGGCCAAGATTTTCAGAGGCAGTTAGCACTTCTACTGCATTTTAATGGGCCCAACATGACTCTGCTTAACAAGAAGGACGATTTTCTTAAGGGATGAACACTGACCACCTCTGGGTGTTGAGCCAATACATAACATTAATTTATTCTGATACCCAGTTTCTCCCTTGGGAGAGGAGAGGTCGGAATTTTTAAATCTCTCAGAAACAACATGAGATTTATCTTTTCATGCAGGCCTTAGAGTCAGAAATGAGTTAACTAATTCAGACCTCAGAACCGAGAATTTAAGTTACTGAGTTTCACCCTTGGGCCAGTGCTCATTTATTGTTAAATGACATGCTAAACACTCATTAAAATGAGTGTGATGTGTTTAAAGAAACTGATGAGAAATATAAAATTAGAATAATGTGTGCCTTTGTTATTTTAAAGCCAGTGTCTCATGCTTAAATTACGCTTTACTCAGTATATATCCCTGATAAAGAGAAGTTCAGATAAAGATGATATATTTCTATCACCATAGTCATCTTAGGAAAGATTCTCTTGCATTTTTAAGCATCTGGTTTATCAGCGTAAATTAGGTCAGTGCACAATTTTCTCTATTTTGCCTGTCCTTAGATTCCTCAGCAGTAAAAAATATAGGTGCAGTCAAGTAAAAAGAAAGCAATCTGTCTTTATTGTACAAGGGAGCTTGTTGTATTTTTAGAGGGAGCAGGAAGTAAAAAACTGCAATTACCAAAATTACCAAGTACAAGGCAAAAGAAAAAAGCCTATAGACACCTGCTTTATTTTTCGACCCACCCTGGTATTAGGACCAGAAATGTAAATGCCACTAGAAAACTTTGATGAACACTTAAAATTACCAACAAGTCAAGAAATGCTAAGAAAATGCTACTTTAAGCATGCATACTTTGAGTAGACAGCACTCAGTCTTCTTGGAAAAACACATTTCCCTGCTACTCAACACATCTTCAATTTTCTTCCATTAACAGTTTTTCAGTACAGTAAGAATCACATTTTTATGCATAGTTAATGTTGAAATAAATTCTGTATTAGCAGAGAGATAGAAAAATTCAAAGGTCTTTCAATATGTGATGATCTATTCATTTTACATTTTAAACCCCTGCATTACTGGCATTGAGAAGCACAGCAGTTGTTCCTCTCCTCACTACAATGACTCAGTTCCCTCCATGGCTGGCTGTTTCTCTCTATAGGGGAATCTTATTTTCATGTCATGCTCAAAACCATCTAAGGAGTTACAGTTCCAGCAATTTTTAGGCCTTTCCCAGATTTCTTTTTAATTCTCTTGGGTCAGAGGTCCTAGATACTCAGCTTGCAAATGTCAGGATACTGCCTTTATAAGTAGCAGAAGTGTTGGATGGTCCCAGTCAAGGGGAAAGGAGCTACAAACCTCTTCAGTTTACACCACCGGTTTTTATTAATTTCAGCTAACTAAAGGCAAAATGCCTGAAACTGGTTCAAAGGTCTAGACAAAATCAGTTGGTACTGTCTTTAAAACCAAACAGGCTTTTAAATTAATGAAGATGGACATCCAAGAACTCAACTCCATGGAAATTTCTAATTCTTTTTCCACCGCAGTACTTTCAGGACTGCAAAGAGTTCTGCTGTTATTGTAAAGACTGAATTAACTGTAAATTTTGAGAAGACATTTTAAAGGATCAATATGTATTGTGTGGCTTACAAAATAGAGCCAGCCCAAGGCAAGAGGAGGAAGAAACATAAAGAAGTTGTCACAGGTAGCAGCTTGGGCTTATGCCTTTAAAAACACAATTAAATTAAAAACCTCATTGTTTCATTTTATTGATGATTAAGTATATTAAGCCCAGGGCCTTTAACACAAAGCTTTGCCCAAGATCTTCTTAAAGAGCATCTTCTTTGGCCACAGTTATTCTGGCCAGTATTCTGGAGGCAGAATACTGGGGTGGAATGGACCCAGTCAGGTACCTCCTACTGATGCTGGCTGCCATTTCTGAGCAATTGTAGACATAAGAGGTACCCTGCTGTTTGCCTCAAGACTCGCAAGAAGTTAACCCAACTTCAATGCTTTTGAATTTGATATGTAGTAATTTCCCTGTAGTAACTTCATGTCAACACAAAAATATTTGGCAAAATGAAAAACAGTTATTTTCATATCCCACTAATTTTATTAGAGCACTGAATAGTCAGAAGAATGATTTAGATGTACCTTGCTAGAAGATGTTTGAATAGCTATTTAAATTTATCAAAATATTAACTACTAACATGGAGCACAGCAAAATTTAAGAATAAATCTCAAATTTGCTATCCAATTCAGTAAGTATAACTGCAAGCAAAAGGCTTTAGGTTTTCTCATGTGTCAGCTCCTTCTCTTCCTGAGTAAAGGAACACACAGACTTTTGATGAGTTATGATCCAGTTTGGGATTACATCTTTACTTGTTCTCATGTCTGGCTTCACAGACCATCAATACAAAATAGGCCTGTTCAGGTTCACTTGAAACTAGCCAAGATGTACAATTAAAACAAAATACCCACGTGGCACCCTAAAATAACACAAGAATTGCTAAATCAAGTTATGTCAAAGGTCCAGTGAACTCAGCCTCCTTTGTAAAAGACAGGAGGTTTAAGAAAAGTTTAAACACAGAACAGACACACCATGATCACTTCAGCTTTTGGCAGTCAGCAACCATCTGAGATGAAGCCTCTACCATAAGCCAGCAAGTGTAGTAGTTTTGGCTATATTCCTTTCCAATTAGCATAGCTTAAGATGCCTGAAGACATACAAAAAAACCCACACAGATAAGCAAAAAATAAATCATATATATCCTTGTTATAATTTAAGTCACTGGATTTACAGCAATTTCTTCCTGCTACAGCTTTGTTTTTAACATCTGTCTGGTTTTAACGTGTGAGGGCCATGAAGGGCTTTTGCGAAAGCAGACAGCTGATTTTTCACAACCAGGAATGACCTCACTTTTTTATCACATGAGAAGGTATAAACTCTAAGCCACCTTTCTAAGAATTCAAATCTACAGTTTTTGTTATACCTCTTGTAATGCTTCTTCCATCACCATGGGAGTTCTATTGCATGACTGAACAGGTTAGATGAACAGATACTGTATGTCACCAGCAGATGTTACTGTGACATTTTATCCAAGTTATTTGACCCTTAAGACATCACAATATTCTTGTTCTCTGGCAAGCTGGGATGCCAGCTGAATTTCATCACTGATTTACATGAACTGTAGCTGCATCAAAAATGCAGGTTTACCTCCTTGTAACAGTATTCTTTAAGGGACACATCAACTCTCCAGCTGAAAGTGTTTATAACCAATGTTTCTAGTCGTAAAAGTGTTCTGACTTATCCCGCTACTGTTACTGTTTTCATTTATACTGCAGCATTGCCACAGTCACAGATCAGGGGTCCACTTAGCATGCAACTAAGACACCTAATGTCAGATCCCTGCTCTAGAGATTGGATGGCAATGTGCCAGATGCAATTACAGCAGCAGGTTTTTCTTTTTCTTCCTGTTTCTATCCCTGTTACTCTTCATCCCCACTGCTCTCTAACAACTGAATAATGATTTCCTTTCAAAGTCCTCCTCAACCGTTTAAATACCCATTTCTTCTCTGCTGTCTGATGAGCATTGTGGAGAAGGATCACATCAGTTAAATGCTAGGCATTTTTTCCCTTTCTGTTCTTATCAAGAGAGGAGAATGCTACTTATTGGGCCGTGGAGGGGAGCTGGGTTGACTCTACCCTCTCTCCATTACCAGACCGTTAGCTTTTTAAGCAAATCAGGTTTACAGATAGTGCTGTTGGTGCAGTCAACTATTCTCACCCCACAGCACGCAAATCAGTTCTCTCACATTCAGCAATGAGATGGGAATAGAATCACAGAATCATAGAATCATAGAATAGTTAGGGTTGGAAAGGACCTTAAGATCATCAAGTTCCAGCCTCCTGCTATGGGCAGGGACACCTCGCTCTAAACCATATCACCCAAGGCCTCGTCCAACCTGGCCTTGAACACTGCCAGGGATGGAGCATTCACAACCTCCCTGGGCAACCTATTCCAGTGCCTCACCACCCTAACAGGAAAGAATTTGGGACAGGAAAGAATATGGGACATAGTTCCTGTTGGTGCGAGGCAGGAAGTCAGGATGGTGACCTCCAGCAAGACAAGCAGAACTCAACTGTGAGCATTGCTTTTGGCAGACATGGTGTCCATGCAGCTGATTAGCCAGACATTGGCTCAGCCACCCACAGTGTGCGCTGTTTACACTGCTAGAAAGGGGAAAGTAGGGAACTGTGTAGGTACCCACTAATGGACATCAGGAGACATCACTCATCTGAGGCCTCACAGAGTAGCTTCTCACATGGTGGTGTGGCTTACATTTGCACATGATGCTTGCCTTCTCTAACCTCATCTCTTCTCTTTTTTTTCAACACTTACATAATGCATTTCATTCCTTCTCCCACTTTCAGCCTCTTATTTGCCACTTAAAGACATCTTGGTCTTTTACACCTCTGACAAAACATCATAGGATCATTAAACGGTTTGGGTCAGAAAGCACCTTTAAGATCATTTAGTTCCAACCCCAGTGCCATGAGCAGGGACACCTTCCACTAGAAAATGAGGCCACTTGCATTTTAGTAGTTATATTCTGGTTATCTCCTGGGGACAGAAGAAAGAGAGAGGATAAATGCACGAGCAGAACTTTGTGGAAACTCAATGACCTACATTATCCCACTGGATTTTCATTGTTTTAAAACATTAATTAGGAAGATAAATGTTGTCATCTCAATTTTAGAAGCTTTCATGTACATTTTAGAGTATTTCATAAGGACTGAGGTATCCATCTGCCTTACGTACAACAGACCTTTTACAAATAACACTTTTATGTTTCTCCAATAAGATATAATCCACAGTGAAATGTATATTTGCGTGAATAGCCTTCATCCATTAGTGGAAAAAAATAGATTTAGCCAGAAGAGACACTTGCACATTTCTGATATTAATTTTCAGATTTAACTGAAGAGACAAATAATTCAAAAGCATTACTATAGTCATAATTAAATTGGAGAATACCATGTTATCATTATATGGCTTACAAGCAGTGGAATTTTTAATAACCTACAAACTCTTCTGGTCTCCCTTATACTAAGGCTTTTTCTCCCCTATTTCTGATGATGATGTTAATATCCAGATGGTTTTTCCTGGTTGTTGATTCACTGTTATTTATCCTCCTATTCAGTGAATTCCCCTCCCAACCTGCTTTCATTATTCCACTGCATTACTCCCGATACTCAAAATTTGGCTTGTGCCTAATCTGAATTTTTCCATGTGCACTGGGATGGGGAGGAGGGCTCCAAACTCCCCAAGCTGCTGTAACATCACAGATGTTCTCTGTCCTGTCATTCCATAAATCAACAAACTCCTTCCCTAGCTATCCACATGCTATCCAAAGATCTAAAGATGCTGTCACTTTCAAATCTGCGTTAAGAGAGGGGTGATTTGAAAGGTTATACAATGGTAAGGCAATTGCCTGTGTTTCTAATGTGCTTCATAAGAAGGCATCTAGATACTTTATAACACAGAAGTATAAGATGATACGATTTATGCTGCCTTACATGTGGATTTTATGAATTCCAAAGTGATAATCTAAGAATCATTCTTACCTATTTGGCAGCTGATATCCTACAGGCTGCCTTGCTTGTGCAACAAGGTGACCAATTCTGAAAGCATGGCAGCCTGATAGGAAAGGCACCAAAATTCAAGGGGATGTATACACTTCACTCTCCTATGGTCCTTTGCAAACCTCTGCCTAGAAACATAAGCCCTTACCTGTTTTGAAAGCTCTAAAGATGACACTCAAAATGAGTTTCACTCTGTACTACAACATATCTCAGTATTGATATTTTGTTTTAGAATTAATCAGGTCAAAAAGCTTCTACTGATAAGCAGTTACTTTCTTTATTTTTTCTTATCCCAGCCTCTTCTTTTTTATTTAAAGTATCTAAATTTGTAGGACTTAAGGTGGCTCATGAAAGCCACCTTCTCATAATCAACAAGGGAACTGCTAAAGCTTATTTCCTTTCAACTGTTGAATAAGGTGTGGGTAGCTTTGCTCTCCTGACATCTACTCCAAAACCCACCTGCAATGCTTCTAGATTAGATTTCAGATCATTTTCAGAATACTTCCCAGGCTGCAGCTGGCCCACTACCAGCAACAGTAAATGTTGAGAATTTCAAGGCAGGTGGTGTTACTTTATTGCCAATTTTTTTATAACCTTTAAACTCTATCTAGCAGAGGTCCAGCTTCACTGTCAGTGCTGAGGTTTCCAGATACTAAGGCAGGACTTCCAATAGATCCCTACCACAAGTGTGACATTATGCAATAGCATTGTAGATGTGGAATCTTTGCCAGCCAAAGCTCTGGAAATATATCTACAGTTTTATCAGGTAGAAATGAGACAGTTGCAACTTGGCATCCAAGGCATGAAAGAATCCCAGCCCAGCTGTGGTGCTGCAAGATTATTACTACTGTTGCGTAGTAGTAGAGTCAGCCCCAGGCTGCTCACTGCTGTGTCCCTGCTGGTGCTCTGCCCATGGCTGGCAGGCAAACCCTTTCCTTCATGGTCCGTGGAAAAGCTGTCCTCTGCCTTACCAAACCTGTGCTGACTCTGTAAAGCTGAACAGTTCTCCCCAAAGCCTTGTTGCTTTTGTGTGTTTTTATTAACACTGAACTGTATCTCTAAACGCCCGAGGTGCCAGCATTTACAGAATTCTTCATTCAACACCAAACCAGAGTTCCCAAACATGGGATTCTTTTCCTTAATGTGCCATTTCTATTCCACAGGGCTCGTCAGATCACAAAAGACCAGTTTTTCATTTCATAGTAGAAGAAACGGGATAATTTGCATTAATTTTATTATAAAAGAGTATTAAATTTAAGTTGCAGGAACTGATTCACACTTTGCAAGTAATTCTGCAGTCAGCTAGATGGTGACTGAAAATGTAGGGGTTATATTTAAATGAAGTTTTTAAGAGCAGTTTCTAAAGCACAGTTATGTTCTGCAGACATTTTAGTATTGCACTAAGACTCCTTCCTTCTTTGTACCCTGCTATTTTTAATGTGTCCCTATAATAAGCAAAACCATTTTTTCAACGTTTTCTCAGCCAAACAGAGTGATATATTAGAACTTAACAACTGACTGTAGTAATTTTACTGGGGCAGAGCATACAGCAGCTGTGCTCACACAAGCAAATTATTTTATACATACAACTTAAAGAACAAGATATTCTCGTCTGTGTCTATGAAACTGAAGCAAGCTATATGGAAGCACTTGAAATTTTCAGTTATATAGGTGTATGTGGTTTTTATTAGATCTACAAAAGGTTATAGAGTTACAGAACAGGATCAAGCACAGTAACTACTGAAAAAAACAACAGCAACAGAGCCAGTACTTTAGCTAGCCAAACTGAAAAGACTGTAGATAAGGGAGAATCATGAAGACAGAAATCACTTATCATTCCCAAATGAACCCTGCATACAGTGGCTTATGCACAACAGCAAGATGATTTGGTTAGGTTTGTATCACCATGCACAGTGCCATATAGGTTAGTTAATTGTGGAATTTTATTTATAAAAAATCCAAAGCAATAATATTTATACATGCAAACAAAAAATGTGAGGGAAAGATAATTGTCAAGAAAATCTCTGTCATTGGAATATTCTGCTTTTACTGTGATATCAGAACTACTTCCCAGCCTGCACCCCTACAATAATCACCTTTGGTTACAAGAAAGTGACACATCATACCTCTTTCTGCCTTGCTCGTGTTATGTTTTTCAAGTAGGAGGTAACGAGGACTTTCAGGAAGAAAAGGCAGAATCACAACTTGTATCAGTGAAGGAACAGTAATTGCTCCAAATAAATAAGGCCACAGAGATTCCTGCAAACAAATACAAACATACATCAGTAATACTGTCCCTAGTGATACTAGGAAGAAAAAGAGCTTTGATAGGAAGCACTGTAACTTTTCAACATCCAACATGTTGTGTCAGTGAGTAGTGTTGTCTCCTGCCTGAGCTAAGTAAGCAGTTTGGACACTTCCCCCTCAGATCACCCTACTCAAAGGCCAAGAAAGACAGAATTCAAGCCATCAACTGACTGAGAATGAAAAGAGAGGCTAGGAAACAGCAATGAATAAATAGCATATTTTGACTTTCCTTCACCATCAACAACTAAACATGCAAAAATGTCATATATATATATATACATTCAAATATATATTCTACAAATCATCCCCATTCACAGATGCATCACACATTAGCTTTAAGAACCAGTACAACATTGTTTTCATAAAGTTATGTGTACCTTATTGGTGTCTCTTAGTCTAATCTAATTGATGTAAAATATATATATACACACATACAACGATTGAGCTAACTGTATTATAGTCATAATATGGGTAAAACCCCACTAACACTTCAGCTAAGCTACAGTTTAGCATTTTTGTACTTTTTGGTGTAATGCAGGCAGTGACCCTTCAGCAATTCACAGGTGCCAGGAATGAACGGAGTTGGGCTAAGGTCTCTCTTCTACTTGGCAAAACACACTTGCCTTACAGGTACAACTAACACATAGTTGGGCAGTTTTCATTTCCATTCAGAAAAGAAGACGTAAGAAGATATATACAGCTCAACACAACTGAAGTGAAAGACAGCTATGTAATTTGACTAGAAAAAAGGTGTCTGGCTAACTGATGCAAGGTTATCTTTACGGATGTTTTCTCTTGCAGTCAATGATTCCACCCCTTAAGATAGCTTCCATGCTAATTTAAGTATATTTAAGTTTCACCTATTGTCCTGTCCCAAATCACAGGACCTTAAGTCCTTTGATTTGATGGTAGTGTAACTAAGAGTAATGCATTATAGTGTTTCCCATTCTGAATTACCTAACCTAGCTCAGATGTTCAAATGAAACTCTAACAACCCTCTTCCCAAGTCCATGAAAGAGAAAGTGCTTTTTCTAATTGCTTTGCAAGTAATCTGCTGGAAGACTCCAGCAAGGACCTGAAACACAAGAGCCATCTGCAGCATCCCAACCAATGCAAAGCCCCAGTAACCCATCTTTGGCAAGAGCTACAGCTGAACCCAAACACCTCCATAGAGAATCCAGACAGTTTTAGCCTTCCAGAGCCCCACTGCTGTGCAGTGAAGAGCATGATGCACTGCACTATCCAGCACTAGTTAAACAAATCTACTCAACTGCTAGCAGATTTCACATACAACTTGACTTTGATAATTGTCTTTGAAATCAACTGAAGTTGTGAACATCCTCAAATGCATTCATTATTTAAAACCAGCTATAGAGAGTGACCTGAGCAAAGCTCTTTCAGGGAAAGGCTGGGAAACGCTGTATAAAATTTATCTAGCTCTCTGGGCTTACTCTCAAGAAAGTAGCTGAAGGAGAAAGGTGCCAACAGTATTATTTTCTCCTGCAAAATGGCCCTCAATCTGTCTGTGTTCTTAAGATAGCTTCTGTTCCAACTGAATGCCAAGATGAAATTTTTTTGATGTATTCTCCAAGTTCAGCATTCATCTATTTAATTCAGTGCTTTCTAATCTGAGACTTGGTTCTTAATTGAAAAGCCTACTGAGACTTGAGTAGACCTACAGTTGAGGCATCATGTCTAGCACATTTTCAAAAGCTTGGCTAGATCAAAGGCAGATTGCACTGTATCCTGGCTGCTTGAGCTCTGAGAGGCACGGGGGTTTGGATCCCATCCCTCAGTCATTCTTCTATCCATTCAAATTCCATATTTCCCTAAACTGAGATATATTTCAATATAACTTTTTGCAGTCAAATAGAAGGTCAAAAGCCCCCAAGCAATTTTCCATTGATAGTTTTTATTTTACATTCTCCCACTTCAGCAATGTCTAAACCACCATGTACTGCATCATATGGGATGCAGTCCAAGCCATAAAGCTGAGCCAGGGCCTGAGATAACTGAATAACTCCCAGAGGGAATATGAGGGGTATATCCTAATCAAATTTTTCACTTGCCCTTTAAGTGACAGAGAGGTTTTGCATCAAAATCTCCTGGGATAAGAAAACAACCTGAGAAAGGGATTCTTTCAAACAATTTCAAGATCAAGCTTATCAGTCTTCTTAAGAGGCCCCATTAGTTTCAAGATTTCTTCACTCCCCTTTTTTTTTTTTAAATGCAGTTGAGTGGAGAACTTCACTTAATGAAAGAGAATCACAAGTGGTTACAATCTGTTTATAAACAAATCAACCTGAACCTTCTTTTGAAAACTAGAAAATTAACCTGAGGTTAAGACTGCAAGAGCAGTTAATAGTCACATAAAAACGTATGTATCTGTAAATTGTAAGAAAACAGGCAGTATAACATCAGTTTCATTCTGTCTCTGTCTGGAATAATTTCACAGAATATAAACACTCTTGCTATGTACCATATAAAAAAGTTTATCGGACATTAGAACTTTTTACAATATCTCTAGATAAAAATCTTACGCTTGGTCAGCACACCATATTTTCTGTAGGCTTTTTCCCACAGTGTCAGGGACACTTATTAAAGGAAGAAAAAAATATTTTCTTCTGTATATTGCTATTATTGATATTCTAGTAACATATGGAGACTTACACCCCTATTAATGTCTCCCATAGCATATGGTTTTTCAAGCAGTCACATTTCTCTCAACTCTTCTGAAAGCGTCATTTTGAGGAAGCTGTGAATGAGACTGACCTTCTGAACTCACTTTTTGCAATAAAGAACAGCCCCTGACAGTATAATAAAAAGCCCTCTATTTTCAGCACGTAAGATACCAAGTTTCCTTTGTTTCCTCCATGAGGGATTTCTGTTTTACCTTTTACTGTGATAACTTTTAAACCTTAAGGCAAACACTCATAAATATGAGCCTACTTTCTATTGCTGGAATGAACTGATCAGAAAATCACTGAATGGAAACTTCTCCATCCATTTCAAAAGGTTTTGGGTGATGTCTATCCAACACTATAGAATAGATGTTTTATTTGCTTTTCTCTTAATTTACATTATCCGTGTTCAAATTATTCATTCCACTACAGAAAATAACTAGAAGATCTAAAATAAATTTAATATATCTATAAAAAATTATGAAAATCAAGCTGTAATAGATCTTAAAGGGAATTAAAAGAAGCAGGAAGAAGGAGGGGGTTTAACCTCTTTAAGAAAGAATAGGACAGGATACAAACTGGCATAATGATCAAAAGCAATAATAAGGCAAGGGCAAAAGACAGCGTAGGTGTGACTTAGAAGACACATTAACACTTTGCCTGTTGTCAACAATAAGAAGAAGCACACAGGCACTGCTGAGAGAAATGAAAACAACCACATTCCATTTTATTTCAGGAAAAACTTTAAAGAGCATTAACTATTTTAATTACAGGGGACCTGATTCATCCCCTGCTCAAAATCGATACAAATAGCATTTCAAGATGGTAACATTTTAATTTTAAACTGTCACATTATGGATATTTGCTTAGACTGGAGTATGAAAAACTGGGCTTTGATTTATTTACAAAAGACACTTAAATATTAGGGAAAGTCTGACAACCACAGACTCATTCATTCAAAGGTTGTTATAACAAAGTGCAAAGCTGAAGAAATACAAAGAAGAGAGTGAGGGGAGGAAATGAATAAAGAATGACATGGACTTATCAACTGCAAAAGAGATGGGATTAACCTATACCAGAATGCAGTAAAGCAAATGTTACCATGTCAGAGAATCATTGGTTAAAATGCAGAAAATAGAACTTACTGTAAAAATTAAAGGGTGGAAAAGAAACTGGCAGGGGTAAATGTCAACAGGCACCTCTGTCAGCTGAAGTCTTGGTCCTTATGAAGTTCAATGACCTATTTAAACACCAGTTACATTTAATATTTTCACTAATTTGATGAAATCTGAATACACTTTCAACACAGAAAAGGCTAAGAATATACACATAGATGTAAACCTTTTAAAATGGAGAACTGAGTCATTGACAGGGTCACACAACAGAGGTGGGAAGAAGTGCTGCACAGCCCTGTATGTGGGCAGTCATTTTTTGAAAGACCTAGTGAGGCCACTGAAGTATTCAAGACATAGGACAGGATCGAAAAGACTGAGTGAGGAAACACATGACTGCCACAGGGTCTGCTTCCTCTCTCAGTAATTGCACTTATTTAGTAAACAGCCTAACCTGGACACTCTGCATCCCCACGTGACCATCAACCACTACAGCACTGTCAGGATCCTTGTTTGCCCTTTGCCCCAAGTTTGGTTTTCTGTGCTGTGAAGGTCCCCACATCCAGATGAGCATCCCTGACCCCAGCTGCCCCAGGGCACTTGTCCCACATCCCTGTCTCCCTTCCGTTCTACAGCCACAGGGTAATTACTGCACCGCAAATACAAGACCCGAACACCTCCTTGTAGGCAGCAGTCTGCACAGGGCGTAGGTAGCACGGGTCAATGCCCAGAGGGCTCCAGCCTTGCTCTGCATCCCAGTGTAACAGCAATGCCACCTCACATAGCTATAGAGGGCTTGGTTAGCTTTACTGCTTGAAATATGCAAGACATTGCAGCAAAACAAACACCCACTCTCCCTTTTTCACATTCATTGCTCAGGGTGAAGTGTGACACCTCTCAGTGAGCAGGTCTATTTACCAGTCACTGCTAAATAGTCACTATTGAAATATTAATTCTGTAATTCCTTGGGGATGGAGGTGTATGATGGGTTTATGACAGAGTGGAACACCTTACAAACAGCAACGATTCTTTTGTATAATACCTTTCACATGTAAAATGGCATATTTTACCCATTTTATATGTGGGGTGAGCATGAAATACAAGGTAGTCAAAATGTCCAAGAACTAGTGATTTGGCAGTGTCTTCTCTTTTGTGTTCC